AAAATATCGATTAAATCAATTCAAAAAATTGAATATAAACAAATTAAATGATTGTTAGCTTAATATGAATATTTAAATTTTTGTTACCAAAGATTATCCGGGTATGTCTACCCAAGTATTATCCGGATATGCTTATCCAGATAGCTGAGTTTATAATCTGAATATCTGATTATCTGCGGATAATCTGGGTAATATCCAACCCGAGTACCATTACTAATTTAAATTTACTTTTTTAAAAAAAAAAATTTTTATTTTATTTATAATTTAAATAAAAATATTTTTTACAAAAAACAAATATAAAAAGGATAAATCTAGTTGTAATAGTCTATTACATACTTATTTGTAACAACCTCAGATATCATGTGATAAAATTAATTTTCTATTGGATAAAATACTATAAGCTTACATAGACTAAATTTTATTGAATATGCAAAAGTAGTACTATAAATCACCATATAAATAATCTGGTTTTTTTAATATAAATAGTATTTATAGTGACTATATACTGTATCTTTTAAATTAGAAATTGACTAAACCTGATCCTTAAATGTATTTCCCAAATAGAAAACTAATCGGGTCTATTTAAAATTCTGATATTAAATAATAAAATATATATCACAATCTAATATCAGAATTTTAAAATAGTTTATTGTTTATTGTGATCGATATAAAGTATGATATAATCGATACAATTAACTACTCTATAAATAAATGAAACGATCAAAATAATAATTGACTTTTTCTTCTAAATACCTTACTTAAAGTTTTTTACTGTATCCAAAAAAGTATCTCACAAGAGAATTAAAAATAAATAAATGTAGTTAGTTAAAGTAAAATACCTAAAGTAAAAAGCATGACAAAATATATATCTTTTGAGTTCATATTTAAAAGTTTTTTTGCGCAATGTTTTATTTTTGGTCGAAGAAAGTATCACAATAAAATAAAACAAAAAAACTTCATTGATAACAGTTATCAATTTTTCTAGAATATGGATATAGAATTTCAGAGTAAATATTATATTTATGAATAACAATAAATTAAAAAAAAAAGAATAAAAAATAAGACAAATTTCTAAAGTTCTTTTTTTTTTTAGAGATATTTATTAAGTTTACTGAACAAAACGGTGAAAAGGTTCAAAGTAATAGTGATCATAGAGATAGTGTTAAATTGATACCAGATACTTTATACAAAGTTGAGAGTAACCAAAAAATATCTAAATTTAGTAATAAATTTTTAAAATAAATATAAGATTGTAACTATAAATGATAAGTTATTTTTTACATTGTTTTATTTTTTAACTAGGTAAGAATATACTTAATGAAGTTGTGGTTATTTACGTTGGCTATTCTTTCAAATCATGAGATAAGGTAGATATGATTATAGAAATCTATAGTAAACAACAGAGGTTTGAAGTTATTAAAAAAAAGTTAGAAAGATATAAAGATGGTAGTATTAAACTTCGTAGTTTTAGATATGAATTTGTGGCCATTATCGACCAAAAAAACAAGTTGATATTGATAAGCATCAGAATTATAAATCAAAATATCAAGAATATGAATGGAACATTAATCTCAATTGCCTTAAAAATACCTCAAATATAACAATTACAATATTCAAGAATATACACAACCATGAATTATGTCTTAATATAGCAGCTTTTGCTCCAGTACATTAGGATATTTCACAAGAAGTCCTTGACAAAATTCAAATTTTTACCAAATATGAGAACTTACCAATGAGAATCTAAAAAAAGCTGTTGAAAGCAAAATTTTTAAATGAATTTATTTTAGAATATAATCTTATGAATACAATTTAGAGGTTTAAAGTTAAAGCAGATGAAAATATGGATGCCTTCTGCTTGCTTACAATATTGGTTAACAAGAAATCACTTGATCTCACGTGGGTGTTTGAGTTTAAACTTAACAATGAAAATAGACTTATATGTTTTTTCTA